ACGTAGATCAGATCGGGTTTTGGCCATGAAGACAGAGAAACTAAACGGTTTTATGTCTTTTTATACTTTATGTACACGGTGCTTCACAATCAGACAGGTGGAGATGAATTGCTTTCAGTTCGAGGATCAGAGATGAATCAGGCTCCAAACTGTTGATTGATTTCTTATCGATAATTACAGGCCCTGACCCGGAGCCGGTAGAGCGTCCAGATCCGACAGCCGAACCGAGCGGTTCCACTCGGAGGCGACTTTAAACGGAGCAGCTCCATCACGCCTTCCACCGTCACGCCTGTTTATGTGCTGCAGCAGCAGAAAGCCCAGCAGCGAGGCCCATTAGCGTCCGTCATTATTTAGCCCCCCGAGCGGCGGGAAGGCCTCGGCCCCGTTAGCTCGGGCCCTGTAGCAACACAACACGAAGCAATTTGCAGCGAATAGCCACCCAGGACATTTCCAGTGCATTACAGAAGCAATCAGCGTCAGCAAGTAACGCGAGCAGAGTGACGGGGAGGAAATAGAGCGAGAGGCCACACGACGGACGGAGAGGCAGAAAACAGAGATGGAGGGCTGTTATCATGCTGCAGCGCCGGTCAAGGCGCCGAATGGGCAATAAAAGAGCAACAGAAGAGAGCTGCAGCGGCACGAGCGTGGACGTTACATAAGTCAGGGATGGAGGAGGAGGAGGCTCCCAGCGGCCCGCTGTTAGTGTACTGCAGATATGGACACGCTGGTGATTACACTGAAGCTTTATTAGCTCCAGAGCTCCAGAACACGTGTGTTTCTGCAACATCACGTCTGCAGGTGAAGATGTGTTAACACAGTCTGAACAGGCAGAGCTGCACCACAAGAGAATCTGTTTCATACCAGAGAAGTATTAAACTATGACTGTAGTTGCACAGTTTTGTCTCATCTTGTTTCCCTGCAGCTTAATGAGCCGCTCTGGTTCCTATCAATGCCAGGACTAAAGGATAATTCAGGTATTTCGTCCTATTGTGGTCATAATATAATAAAAATGCTGCACCACGAAATTAACTTACTGTTTACAAAATTATTCAAAAGACAAAACAAAAGCAAAAAACTACCAAAAACGAAGATAAAAGTTAAAAATGGAGGCAAAAAGGTGCAAAATACAAAATGCAAAGTCAAAATTAACACTAAGGAAGTAACAAGGGCACTAAAAAGACGACGTCACATAAAAGGAAGTCCATAAATGTATCCGTTTTTTGCAACCTGTGTCTTATTCTGGCCATTAAAAGATCACTGGATTAGTCACCAATCAACTCCTGGAGCATTATAGTGATGTAATATATATATAGCAGTTCAAAATAAGGGTTTACAAAGTGATCTGAGAGAACAAGCGAAACCAAAACACCCAATAATGAAAGCCAAAGTTGAGATAAGAAGACAAAATATGCAATGCCAATATTAATAAATACAAATAAATGCGATGTAAAGACAACATCCCATAAAAGTGAGTCGATAAAAACTGGTTTTGAGAAGCCTTTTAAAAGTAGCTCCTGACTCTGCAGACCTTATCTCCCTCAGACAGGCTGCCCCATACCTTCACATTTAAAGGTTTAAAGGTTTGAGGTTCACACAGGGCCAGCGCTCCGACTACGTATCCGGAGGCTGGATTGAAAAGTGATCTGTGAAGTCCTCCGAAACGAGCAGGAAGTCGGCGAGGAGGAGGCGAGGTGTTGCTGAGCTGCTGCATTCTGAGCTCGTAGGAGGAAGGAGAGTCGTGCTGGAAGCAGAAGAAACGGCCGACGTAGGAATGTGAGTCACGTCGACGCGAGGTCAAGCTGTGGGTCAGAGTCTCCAAAACGGCAGGTGTTGTGGGTCGTTCCATTATTCATCCATTATCCATACGCCCCGACGTAACCTGTTGACGGAGGAAGTCCCGGCTGACTGAGGCGAGAGGCAGGATCCACCCCGACCAGGTCGCCAGTCCTTCACAGCCACACTCGGCTCTGGAGTCATTTCTAGTCGAAGCATGTCTTCGGACCGGAGGAGGAAGCTGGAGAACATGCAGACTCCACACAGGAAGCCCGGTCCAGATTCAGACCCAGGACCTTCTAAACACCACGACGTCATCACGCAGAGAGCATTTGCACTGTTTGATCAAACCTCACAAAAACAGAACAACCGATGAAGTAGCTGCAGATCGGTCGGAGTGACGAAGCTCAAACTCCTACAATAGAGAGAAGCTGAATGTGGACAGTCGAAGGCTTCAGTCAAATGAAAAGAGTCAAACCCAGCCTCAGGTGTAGATTATATGAATAAGAAACACAGAAAGTTAACAGAAGACTGCACAAAGGTGCAAAGTGGAGTCCCGAGATGCACAAAAGCACCAAAATGTAGGTGTGCACATTAGATTAATGGTAATTTAATGATAAATTAACCCTAAAGTGCAAAAGTAAACTACAGCAGTGACTCGATAATCCGACTTTTAACAATCCTAAACCTATCTGACAACGACGACGTCACACGCAGCGAGCGTGCTCAGTGTTTATGGAAGTAAACATGGATGGTAACGGTGGAGCGTATCTGCCACTCCCCC